AAAAGGCGTGTGTAAACTATTTACAGAATATACAGTCTCTTTGCACAAGAAGCAAATAGGCATGATGCGTGTTTCCCTTAACAGTTTAACAATAAAACTTTATAGTGATTTATATTCTTGAATTAACGCCAGAACAGAAGAAGTGAGCTGCGAATTTTTATATTTATTCCATACAGTTTCAAATATAGCTCTTTGCAAAAACATGAAAAGTTGTCCTACTTCTAAGGGATATTTTATATTCAAAGCATTACATGATTTGAAGACTAAGTCCACGGCTTTTAATGGTGTTTCCACTTCATACTTGAATGTATTGATAACAACAAAACATTGCTTAATTTCGTCCAAAGGAGGTTCTACTATCGCTGCAATAGGTTGTGAGGGTTGACCAAAAGATTGTAATTTTTCTGTTTGCTCCTGCAATCTTGCTTCAAGATGCGATGGTCTACGAAAGAAATTATTAATATTAACATTTATTTCTGTTTTAATATTGAAAATTTTAATTCCATAAATATATGTGTATGTATGTGTATATACCATATATATACACGCGCGCACGCACACACACACACACACACACACAGGGTGGACCATTTTAATTCATCTAGACGAATATCTCGAAAACCAAGCCCGGGAGAGAAAAATGTTCTAGATAAAAGTTGTATGGTTTCGAGAGGGCCATAAAATTGTACCATTGGTTTGACCTTGGATAGTCATTTGAAGGTCACGTAAAGGTCACTTCAATTTTTTTTAATGGGACATCCTATATATTTTTGCATATTCTTATAGCTTACCTCGAAAGCTTTCCAAAACACTATGGTAAAATATCTTTTTATTAAGAACTTTTTGAGTTATTAAGGTTTGAAAGTTTTAATATTTTGACATAAACTACAAAATATTTTATCAAATATTTATTTTTCAATAATTTTTTACCTAATACTTAATAATTGATTTGTCTAATTATTCTGTGCATAAAAGTATTAGGGTAAGATTATTGAAAAATGAATATTTGACAAGATATTTTGTCGTTTATGTCAAAATATTGGAACTTTCAAACCTTAATACCTCAAAAAGTTCTTAATGGAAAAATACTTTACTATAGTGTTTTGGAAAGCTCTCAAGATAAGCCACAAGAATATGCAAAAATATATAGGGTGTCCCATTAAAAAAAATTGAAGTAACCTTTACGTGACCTTCAAATAAGTCTTCAAGGTCAACCAATGGTACCATCTTATGGCCCCCTCGAAATCAAACAACTTTTGTCTGAAACACTTTTTTCTCCCGGACTTGGTTTTCGAGATATTCAATTGAATGGATTAAAATGGCCCATTCTGCGTGCGTGCGTGCGTGCGTTCGTGCGTGCGTCCGTAAGTGCGTATTTTTTTTTTTTTTTTTTATTTCAATTTACTTCAATTCTCACCTTTACATGCAGAAGAAATCCTTCTTCAGATTCTTTTCTAGAGGGTCTCCAATTATGTATTTTCTTGTTTCTTATTGTATTTACAGGAAACAAATAAGGCATCAAAAGTAAAGTTGTAATTTTTACACCATCTAATAAAATATAAATATTATATAAAATATATCAGTAATAGTAATATTATACAATAGTAAAGATAATTGTAAAAGAAAAATATAAAATATCTGACCTGGTGTAAAGACATCATCAAGACGATTCTTCAGTTTAGGTGTCACCTTATTAATTACAAAGTTTGATATTTTTTGCCAAGCAATATACAATTTTAAATTACGATTTGGATGTAATGTTTTAAAATCTTTCTCCAACTATAAATTATATAAAAACAAACATTGAATATGTACACATGCACGCTTATGTAATATACATATATATATATATTTATATATTTAATTACAACATTAATTATTAATAATGAATATACATATATCCACAAATGTTCAAAATTATCAATAAAAAATATTTTAAGAAAAAAATATTTATGGAAAAAGATAAAAAAAGATAAGTTTATGTTTTCAGCAAATTTAAATTATATATACAGAATGTTCTATTTTAATCTATGCACTAAAATATCACAGAATCTATAAATTTTAGACAAAAATGTTTTAGACAAAAATATGATTTTAAGGGGGACATAAGATGGTGCTATCAGTTTGACCTTGAAGAGTAACTTGAAGGTCACTTAAAAGTTACCTCCAATTTTTTAAATAGGACACTATATATTTTTACACATTCTTGTAGCTTATCTCGAGAGCTTTCCAAAACACTATGATAAAGTAGTTTTTCATTCAGATGTAACGGATCACCCTTTCCCGACGCCACGGATCGGCTCGTCGGTGCCAGGATTCGGGAAGAGGGGAGACTCAGATTCGCAAGGACCACACGGTTGTTCTGGTAAAAAACAGAGTTTATTCGAGTCACTTTTCAGGGGTAGACTTGCTATTTAGTCCACAGGTACAGAGAATCTTAAGACGGACGAAACGCGACCAGATTATTCGGACGCGAGCACGACTTATAGCTAGAATTTACAAGGAGAGGTACGACGTACGAAATATATACAACGCGGACGCGGATACGGGCGCCCTAAAAAGGGCGAGCTCCGTAGAGCGCAGGTGATTCGCGGACAGGACCCGGTGACCGAGAACACTCGGCCTACGCTACGAGAACGCTCGTCGGCCGGGATAGTTTACGGACAGGACCCGGTGACCGAAAACACTCGGCCTACGCGACGAGAACGCTCGTCGGCCGGGACGGCTTACGGACAGGACCCGGTGACCGAGAACACTCGGCCTACACGACGAGAACGCTCGTCGGCCGGGATAGTTTGGAGTTTAGGGTTCGAGGAGTGATCTCTGAGAACGCTCGAGAGACCGAAGCAGGACTGGGTCAGAAGCCTCGGCTGAGCCGCTTTTTATTCCCGCCAGTCGACCCCCTCCAAGCTAGTCTTGGAGTGGGGTGGCTGGTCGGGTGGGGCGAAAAGGCGAGTTTCCATCGCGTTTATTATATGGTGGCCCCGAAAGGGGCCGTTTGTATGAGCGTGGTCGGCCCTGTGCATGCGCGGCGTTTAGTGACGACCAATCGAGTCATCACAAAGAACTTTTTGAGTTATTAAAATTTGAATGTTCCAATATTTTGACATAAATTACAAAATATCTTGAAAAATATTTATTTTTTGATCTTACCTTAATTCTTTTTTGCACAGAATAATAAGACAAATCAATCGATGTAAAGAAAACACAATTGTTAAAAAAAAATTTGTAATTACTTATTTTTTTTTTATAATTGTGTTTTCTTTACACTGATTGATTTGTCTTATTATTCTGTGCAAAAAAATATTAAGATAGAATGATTAAAAAAATGAATATTTTACAAGAATTTTGTAATTTATGTCAAAATAACTAATTTATGTCAAAATAACTAAAAAATGGAACTTTCAAACTTTAATAACTCAAAGTTTTCAATCAAAAATATTATATCTTAGTGTTTTGGAAAGCTCTTGAAGTAAGCTACAAGAATGTGTAAAAATATATTAGGGTGTGCCATTTAAAAAATTGAAGGTGACCTTTAAGTGACCTTCAAGTAACTCTTCAAGATCAAGCTGATAGCACCATCTTATGCCCCCCTTAAAACCATACAACTTTTGTCTGAAATTTTTTTCAATTGTCTTTCTCCACTTATTTCAATGTGCCAATTAAAATAAAACACTTTGTGTATATATATATGTAAAGAAAAGCGCTAAGTTATATCTTTCGCCCCAGCAAAAATAGTTTTATAATAATAAAAAATATTATCTTCTCAAAAATTATGTTTGTAGGAAAAATAATTCTTTGCAAAAACTAATCACCATCAAAAATATTTTCTCAAAAATTATATTTATAAATTATATTTTATTTTTGTTAATAATACTAGAAAAAAATTAAAATATTAGCATCAAAAAGTAGTGAAATCAAAAAATTGCGCTAAATAATTATATTAATAATACGAAAAAAAAGGTTAAAATATTAGCATCAAAAAGTAGTGAAATCAAAAAGTTGCACTAAGTAAGTGACAACTATATAATATTTAGATAAATTTCCTATAATGATACAAATGTATAATTATTGCTTTATATTAAAACGTTTATAATATATATAATAACAAAATAAATTCAGTAAAATATATATATATATATATATCTTTAAATTTAAATAACATGAATAATTATGTAATTAATTTAAACTGAAATGTATATACATTGTAAAGTTATTATATATTTTTATAAAATATTTAGATAAATAGATATATACAAATAAAATAAATTATTTATCTATAATTGTTCGCGCACGAGCAAACCGTATCGACATGTTCGACGATTCTGTTGAAAAAAAAAAAAAAGGTTTTGTTTTGTTTCTTCCTAATATAGGCACAAGTTAAATCTTGTATACGTACGAGCAAATAATACTAAGCACGACCCCGTCGCGATCACGGTTGACACTCGTGCGAGTCACCTGCTCCGTACTACGAACGGGCCTGATCGGAGTGTGATCGGGCCGAGCGCCACCGAGCGAATTTTCAATATTTTTCAAACAATCGGCGAAGCTCGAACAGTGAGGTCGCAGGCGAGTGCGTTCGAGCAACTCAATCCCGATTATACTCTTGATCTTGCTCCGGGTCTTCGATTATATCTGTTTATCTATTGAGTACAAAGTTTATTGTTTAAAATTAAACCGAGTGTGTTAATCAACAAAGAACTATTAACTTCATTCTCGGCCTTGCAAGCCACTGACTTTACTCCTCCTTATCGGCGCGAAAGCGTCGAGTACCAATCGACCTACGCTCTCCTTTTTCTATTCTTGGTCCTTCGAGTTATCACCGCCTTTCCCTGTCGCTGAGAAGCGATAACTCCTCCGTCGACCATCAAGGTCAACACCGATACGGTGTGTCTAAATTATCGTGTGCGACAAAGGGTGCGAACATAAAGTTTTGGTCCTTCGAGCCGGATTAAGGAGCAGAGTGTCAGTGATTGAGACTGAATTATTAAACAATCAAGATGAGCGATCCATTAATTCTACAGCAAACGCTCTTTCACACCATTTCTCGGGCATTAGAGAATTTCAAGAAGATCGGAAGAAACAATTATACGCCCGCAACGATTCGCTCTCGAATGACTTCTCTCAAGGAAACCTGGATGCAGTGCCGTCAAACTCATGCAGCGATTCTCCAAGCGTACGCTGAAGCAAAGAGGGAGAAGATGGAGTATTTTCAAGCCAACAAGATGGAGAGTCATGAGGATCTCTATCAAGCAGCGATAGACTATATGACGAACTGCCTCGAGGAATCAGAGCCGACTGTGAGTCCGAACCAATCTATCAATTATTCAACGAATCATGCGGATTCTGCGGCGCTTTCGTTACAGCATCTCCCAGCCATTCAATTACCATCCTTTAACGGGAGCTTCGACGAATGGGAGAGCTTTTGCGATCGCTTCACGGCTTTAATTATAAATAATAAGGAGCTCTCAGATTTTAGTCGGATGCACTTTCTCGTTTCAAATCTCACCGGATGTGCTCACAACGCGATAGCCAGTTTATCAGTGACCGCGGATAATTTCAACATTGCGTGGACAGCGTTAAGGGCGCGCTTCGAAAATAAGCGCCGATTAATCGAGATGCATGTAGCTACCTTGTTCTCGTTACCAACCTTGTTACGCAAATCATCGTCCGAATTGTATGCGTTGCGCAATAAAGTGGAAAAAGCTATCGCGTCGTTAAAGCGATTAAATCGATCCTCTACCGATATTCTCGATGACATCCTCGTTCACTGCATATCTCAAAGGCTTGACCAAGCCACACGACGCGCTTGGAAACTAAAGTTTAACGAAGCATCTCCTCCCGCGACGTACGACGAATTACTGACATTTTTATCATCGCGCGCGAGTGCACTTGAGGAACTCAAACCGATCAAAGGGTCAAGTTCAAGTCGCGAAAATAAAGTAGCCAGTGCTAATGCGTCGGTAGCGGCGACTCCTATGTGCGGGCTGTGTAAAAACCAGCATTTCCTAAATCATTGTCCAAAATTTCTCGACAAAAGTGTGAGTCAACGTCGAGAGTATGTAAAACAAAACAAACTTTGTTTTAATTGTCTACGCAAAAATCATTCCGTGGCAGAACGCCGCAGTAAATTCGCTTGCCGTACTTGTCAAAAGAAACATCATACAATGTTACATGTCGACTCACACTCCTCGTCGAATACGAATCAAGCGACAACTTCGAGCGAAAATTCAGTGCAGACCAGCGAAAAATCACAAGTCATTTCTCTTTCGGTGGTTTCGAGCGACGCGTCGCCATTACCTGTTCTTCTCGCGACGGCGAAAATCAAGATAAGCTCGCCGACGGGACGCACTCAAACCGTCAGAGCTCTGTTGGATCAGGGTTCGGAAGTATCTTTTATTACAGAAAGACTCGCTCAATGCCTGAGATTGCGACGCATTCGGACAATGACGTCGATCTCAGCTGTTGGGGGTGTTCACGCTGGCATGTGCCGACATGCAGCTAACATCCAACTTACTTCCCGCATAAAATCGGGGCCCGTATTCAGCACTCAAGCTTTTGTTATGCGCTCTTTAACGAAATACACTCCACGACGGGCACAATTCAGTAAGTCATGGGAGCATTTACGAAATCTCAATCTTGCAGATGACAATCCAACGGGATCCGATCCTATTGAGGTACTCATAGGGGCCGATCTATATAGTAGAGTAATTCGAAACGGCGTTCGCAAAGGATCGATCGGACAGCCTATCGCGCAGAATTCTTATTTCGGCTGGGTCCTATCGGGAACTACTACTCAAAGTTCAAGATCTAGCTCAATCAAGGTAATGCATTGTTCTCTTGAACGAGATATTCAACGATTCTGGGAAGTCGAGGAACTTCCTCAGAAAATTCAGCTTTTTCCAGACGACGAGCGCTGTGAGAAACACTTTCTTGAAAATCATTCTCGCGATAAAACCGGACGATATATAGTACGGCTCCCATTCAAACAAGGTCCACCGATCAATATCGGTGATTCACATTCAATTGTATCAAGTATGCTAACCTCTTTAAATCGACGATTAGATCGAAATCTCGATTTAAAGAAGGAATACAATTCATTCCTATTAGAGTATGAAGAACTCGGACATATGGAAAAGGTTTCTGTTTCTTCGAAATCAAATTCTGTACCACAAACCGTTTATATTCCGCACCATGCGGTTGTGCGCAATTCAAGTTCCACGACACGTCTTAGAGTCGTTTTCAATGCATCAAGCTTAACGTCAAACGGAAGCTCCCTTAACACTCATCTGTTGCAAGGTCCTAAGCTTCAAACGAATATATTCGATATAATCCTTTGCTGGCGACAGTATCAATATGTCTATACGGCAGACATGGCCAAGATGTACAGACAGATCGTGGTCGATCCACGTGATCAAGATTACCAACGAATCTTATGGAACACTGAAGGCTCGAAAATACCACAAGCATTTCGATTAAAAACAGTCACTTACGGTACAGCATCAGCTCCATTTCTTGCACTTAGAGTGCTAAAACAACTTCTGCATGACGAAGGAGAATCTTTTCCATTGGCCTCTTCCATTCTAAGAGACCATATTTATGTCGACGATGTTCTTTTTGGAGCCGAAGATATTCTTTTGTTGCGTCAAACACGCGATCAAGTTTGTGCCTTGTTGCAACGCGGAGGATTTCAGCTAAGGAAATGGACGAGTAATAAGTCAGAGTTGCTTACGGACATTTCCTCCCAGAATCACGGCTCGCTTGCAATAAATTGCTGAATGCTAACGAAAATTTCAATGTGCTCGGTATCTCGTGGAACCCCGCTACCGACAATTTTCAATTTCAAGTATCTCTCTCGGCAATTCCGCCTAAAACAAAACGCACTATTTTATCTACGATTGCCAAGCTTTTTGATCCGATCGGATGGGCTACCCCAGTTACGATTACCGCGAAAATCTTTATGCAAAAGTTATGGCGTTTCAATCTCGATTGGGACACAAATATTTCAAACCAAAGCTTAAAGGAATGGGAAGAAATTTACATAACACTAGCTTCACTTGACAACGTAAAAATTGCTCGATGGATAAATCGCGGGTCAGACACAGAACAATGCGAACTTCACGGGTTTGCCGATGCTTCGTCCGTCGCATATGCCGCCGCGGTTTATATTCGAGTACGATCGATCTCGGGAAAAATCACAACTACGTTACTCGCAAGTAAAGCAAAAGTCGCTCCTATCAAGCCGATGACGATACCGAGACTTGAATTGTCAGCAGTAGTTTTACTCGCGCGACTTTTAGAATCAATTCAAGTCGCGCTGAACTTACAGCACATCGAGAGTCACTGCTGGACAGATTCAACAGTAGTATTATCTTGGTTAAACCAGCACCCTTCTAAATGGAAGACATTTGTGTCTCATCGCGTAGCGTTAGTACAAACGAAGCTACCAAATACGCAATGGCATCACGTGCCATCGGAGGAGAATCCAGCTGACTGCGCCTCGCGCGGACTCCTACAAACAGAACTCTCGTCATACACTCTTTGGTGGAGCGGTCCACAGTGGCTAAAAATGCCATCTTCAGCATGGCCAGTCTTTGATTTCTCGCTACAGGACGCGACCATAGTAGAAGCTAAATCCGTTACAGTTTAATTGACTCAAATTAACGAGTCGTGGGATTTAGCAAGCAAATATTCCAGGTGGCGAAAACTCGTTCGAGTTACGGCGTATATTTTTCGATTCCTCGACAGTTGTCGCATAAGCGCGAAACGAGAAAATAACACGCAGACAAGTCCTTTCGCCGTCTCAGCAAACGAATTCGAAAGGGCAAGTTTGTTTTGGCTAAAGACGATTCAAAAGGACATGTTTTCGAGCGATCTGAAAGCGCTTCGACAACATCAACAACTCTCTTCTCGAAGCTCGATACGATTATACGATCCGTTCATTGACGAAAAGGGATTGATCCGGTTGGTGGACGGCTGCAGAATTCAAATCTTCCATACAAAACAAAACATCCTATCCTTCTCACATCTCATCCACTTGTCACGCTGTTGATTCGTGACGCTCATGTTCGATCTCTCCACGCAGGATATCAATTGACTCTTTCCATTCTAAAGCAAGAATACCTAATATTGCGAGCTAGCACTAGTCAAAGCAGTCATAC